ATCAGTTACTGGCTACAAGCCACGTCGAATGACTTTGCGTTCTTCAAAAAAAGGACCCATATCGCAACAGCGGGATCGACAATGAGATCACTCTGGAATTCCCTGCAGCCTTGTTGGATAGATGGGCACACTATCAATCATCAGTGGACTCACTTGTAGTCGTACACCCAAAATGTGGTGTTTCCGGTGTCTGGCAGAGGCTTCAGTGTAGGGTCAGCCACGGGGAATTCCGGGACGTCCATATCCAACGGCTCGTTTAGCTTGCCAGGCGCCCCGCCGTGCTCCTCGAGTATCTGCGCGAAAAGAGGCAGATACCCAAACAGATCCCTTCGTTTAACCCTTCAGGAAGACAGCAGCATCGCGAGCGTCACGCCCCCAGGCAGGACCCATACCGCAGCGGGTCGCGCACATATACCTTGGCCATGTCGTACTTCCTCATGGTGCTGATGTGTACCCCTTCCTCGATTTTGCCTATCTGAGATTGGCAGTCCTCCCGCTCCTCGGGGGTCGGCTGCCGCGGGCCCGTCACTGTCGTGGTCGGGGCGCTCGCGGACGGCGGCGAGGCTGAGGGCGTGGCGACGTTGCTCTTGTTTTGGTCGGGGGCGAAGGGCCAGGCGTACGCCGCGCCGTCCACCGGCGCGCACAGCGCCGCCGCACCCACCACCGCCACCAGGATCACGACCTGCTGCAACACGGCGGCATCCGTCAACCCTCTTTTTAAGGAATCCCCGGGACTGTCTCTATCAGAAGGAACACTTTTGTTGACGCCGGCGAGGCCAGCCCAGGCCCCGGAGGAAGCCCACCACGACCACGTACTCACCGATACGTTCATCTCGGAGCGCCGGAGACAACTGTGCCAGGTTCGCGGAAACGCCACACCACACCGCCACCCCCTGCGCCGCCGCCCCCCGCGGCGGCACCGGCGACTGCATCCCTTTGCTGACGTCACGCCGCCGCCTCCTTGGAAAGGCCGGGGCGACAAACAAGAGGAGCGGGACGGGCATAGTGTAGGGAGGCACCCGGTAGAACCGGTCTGGTCCACGACCAGCATCACGTGTGGCGTCGCGAGTGGAGTGCGCTTCACCGCGGAGGTCAATGTCATTGCCGCAGCCACAGGGCCCGGGGTGTGGTTGTCATGGGATCCTGCAGTACGCAATCTGATCTGCCTAATAGATAGGCAACCCGCGGTGCTTCACCCTCCCCATCAGGTGACCTCTGCGAATGCTGTTGCATCATGTAAAACATACTTTTCCAAGAACGATGTATCGCTCCCACGTTTTCACATTAATGAACAATAGGGCTATTTCTTTCACATGATGTGTTTATTGAAACTAAGTATATGTATTGGGAAATTTTCAAGTACAAAGTGAAAAATTCTAACAATGCTGCAAAAAGCTATATAATTCTTGTCGTGCGTTATTTTTCGTTTTCTCGGTGAAATCTGATGGCTGCCGGCATCGCACTTCGCGAGGTCACCGCTGGCTGACTTAAGGTAGCCGCCGGGCACGAGGGCGATCCAGATGCCCCTAGCCCACGAGGCTGGCGATCAGGGCGGAGGAGGGCGCCTTGACGCACCGGATGGAGTCCCCTTCGATGATGCAGTTGGCGGGGTCTTCGCAGTACAGCCTCGACGAGTCCTCGAACGCGCAGTAACTTAGGCCCACGTTGTGCGCGATCACTCCCTACAAACAAGCGCACCACGTATACACGACCCCGCGGAACTGTTTCACCCGACGCACACCCTGTGTCCGCCCTCCGCCGTCCAGCACTCGTTCGGCGTCATGCAGCCCATGTAGTCCTCTCTCAGGGAGCAGTGCTCAAGTCGCACCGAGGACGAGAAGCCCTAGAACAGTTTGGAGCCACGCTCGAGTTGGTTATCCGACGCAGTATTTGTGGCCGTTTTCGTTGATGTTGCAATAGGCGACGGTGGCACAGCCCATGCCGTCTTCGTTCAGCCAGCAGTAGCCGATGTCCACGTGCGAAGAGAAGCCCTAAACACAAGCAGAGTCAGGCGGAGCGAACTTGCTACAAGAAGTTAGTTAGCTAGCTAGTTAGCTAGCCGACGCACACTTGGTGCGTGCCGTTCGTCGTGCAGTAGCCTGGAGTGCCGCAGCCGATGGCATCCTCGAGGAACCAGCAGTACTCGCGGCCAACCTCCGCAGAGAATCCCTAAAACATTAGCCAGCACGCGTTACAGGGGTGCCGGGAGGCTGGCGTCTGGCGCGTAACATGACACGGACTTCAAGTCCTCGCCGAAATTGCAGTGCAAGAGGGACCACCGAGTGCGAGTCGATACCACCCTGACCGTGCGTTAGGGTCGTTGAGGGGGTGCGGGAGTGGCAGGAAAATGGGCAGAAGAGGAGGGGGGAGAGTGGAGCGGCAGACATGTGCAAGGGAAGGCCCAAAACGAGGATGTGCACGGGATGCTCTCGATTTTGAGGAGTTCAAACGATCATCAGTTTCTCTCTCACCGTCTGGTTCTGGCTGTACGTGGCGTGCCGCGCCTTGTTGCAGAAGTCCGGCGGTGTCCAGTAGAGCTCGCCGCGGATGTCCAAGTACT